CTCACCTCACCTTCAGGAACCCGAGGGAACGTTCTACATAGTCTACCCACTTCTGCCCTTCCTTAGCTGTCCTCCTGTGGAATCAGGTGTTCCTCTGAAGCAGAAGAATCCCCAAACCCCAAAATATCTCCCCTGGCCTCTAAACTGTTTCCAGCTTACCCTAAATGGATGCTTCCATCAAAAAGTATCTTGGCTTCAGGTGACCGACTTTATTGAATGCAAACCAGAGGGGAAACCCATGAAGGCCCTGTCACCCATGGGGATCAGTGATAGAGGAAGGGCGGGTAGAGTAACAAAAGGGGGTATATTGAATGAGGGCCTTACAGAGGCAGCACTTTGGGGGGGGGCTCCCAGGATTTGTGGGGCGGAGGGAGCTCAAGCTCCTGGCAGATTCCATAGTCATTTCATATGCTCCTCCTCCCTTCTTGGAAAGACATCGTCTGCTAAGAAGAGAGCGCCTGTACAGTGAGGCGGTTTTCTCCACATAAAACCGTCATTGCAAAAACTTTCAACAATGTTAACAAAAGGTTGCCGAGATACATTATTAAGTGAAAAGCAATTAAGCTATAGCCAGCTATTTTACAGATATGGGAGTTGCCCCCTTTAAGCAGGAGATTCCTTCTAAGACCTTCAGTGAACTGCAGATACTGCCAGCTCATACACACATGCGTATGTGTGTGCACACACCCAGTACTTGTGGTGGAACCTGCCTGTGGTAAAGTTTATATTATAAATCGTGTCAGCAGATGAGCACAGTAGCAAATATTAAAATAATTTATTGGGGTCAACTTAATATTTTCTTTTTTAAAAATATTTATTTATTTATTATGTATACAATATTCTGTCTGTTTGTATGCCTGCAGGCCAGAAGAGGGCACCAGACCCTGTTACAGATGGTTGTGAGCCACTATGTGGTTGCTGGGAATTGAACTCAGAACCTTTGGAAGAGCAGGCAATGCTCTTAACCTCTGAGCCATCTCTCCAGCCCCTCAACTTAATATTTTCAGACTGAAGCCACACACATGGGGAGAAAGAGAGAGAGAGATCAGGGGAAGTACTCTAAACCAGTGGTTCTCAATCTTCCTAATGCTGCAACCCCTTTATACAGTTCCTCATGCTGTGGTGATCCCAACCACAAAATTAATCTGTTGCTACTCATAACTGCTAATTTTGCTCCTGCTATGACTTGTAATGTAAACATCTGGTATGCAGGCTATGTGATATGCAACTCCTACATAAGGGCCATTCGACCCCCAAGGGGGTCATGACCCACAGGTTGAGAACCACTGCTTTAAACCCATATTTTAAAAATAGATTCATGTGTTTGAGTATAAATACATATTCATATCCCTATGACTATACAGAAATACTTGTTTTTTTGCATAGACAGTTTCCAGATATTTTCATATATGTTGATCTTGGAATAGGTCCGTGGGGAAGACACTTACTCGATTGTAACCCCTGGTTCGTATGTTTTATACTGCCCGATTGCTCCTTCCATTCATGATTAGATAGGAACGAAAGCCGAGACTTTCTGGAGAGATCCTGCAGAACTGTGGCTGTTACAGTGGGTCAGGACCTCTGTGGCAGGCATTGTAGCAGAGCTCAGGATCTTTACCATAGACACATGTCTGGCAAAGGGTCCTCTGAGGCTGCCTAGTTCAGACTAGGGGCACAGAGGCCCTCTAAATCTTGTTTATACAATGTTGGGGTCTCTGATAGCATGCATACCACATGAGAAAAGAGATAGATGCAATTGGTTGCTACCGTTTTTATTTACTTGTGAGTGTGGGTATTGAACTCAGATAATTATACACTCTGTAAACTAATGGATGAAAACAGAAAAGGATGCCATTTAACAAAATGTCTCAACTGTAAGCTGTGGAAGAACAAATTAGTAAATTAGATCTCAGAGAAAGTAAAGACTTAGTTGAAGTATACTATCGAGAAGCTGAGTGAGTCATGGACTTGGAAGAATACATATCTCATCAAAGCTTCAGAATATGTGCACCGTGTAGCTGAAGAAGTTGTACAACCCAATTTAAAAATGGACAAAAGACTGAAAGTTTTCCCAAAAGAAGATTCACAAAGAACAATTTAACACATGGGAAAACATAACACAATTTGTCATTAGTAAAATACAAATTCAAAACCACACTGAAACACCATTACATACTCACCAAATGGCTAACAATTTCGAGTGCTGATGCAATATGGACCAGCTAGAGCTTGTTCCTTGTACAATATCTCTAGAGAGTGGCTTCACAGCCCTCTATGACAAAACATGTTCTAGAAGTTCGGTGCAAGCATTCATAGTAGCTTTTTTTGTAGTTTTCAAAGCTAGGGGCGAACCACACGTCACTCTGCACGAGAATGAATGGGTAAACAAATGACCGTGTAGCCATTCAGTGGAATACCTCAACAGTAGCTGAAAGGAAGGAACTACCAATGCCACGTCATACCACGTTACAGACAAAGAGCAGAAAGCAAATCTGTGGTTTCTTGGGGGCACCTGTAGTCTAACACCCAGAAACTCAGGGGTGGCTGGCAGAAATGGATTTCTCTGCTATGCCCATCTTGGTTGAGGTCACTGTAACTTGGGTACAAATTATAAACTCACCATGATTAATTGCATACAAGCCATCTCTGTATACAGTTCACTGCTTAGGAGGAAGCACTCACTGTAGCCGCCCGGAGAAGGGCCGACAGGGTGGATTCCTGTGCCCATGATCACATACCATTGTGTAGTCATTGTGTTTGGATGACAGGTTGGGTTGAGGATCCCATGCCCTGGCCTCCATTTGGGACTTGGGAGTGTCAGGCGTGCATGGTCTGTTAGATCATGAGAAACCTACCTGTTCCCCCAGAATTCCGGGGGCAGGGAACGCTTGAGTTCTTGATAGCATCAGCAACTCCATGGGTGGAGGATCAGACCTGGTCCATCTGCTCAGTGGAAAGTGGGGGAAGAGTGTCAGCATCCTGTACTTGGTTAGCTTGGTTTGGGTGGGGTAGGGGGCGTCATGGGGAGATGTTGGGTAGACCCTCAAGTTTAGGTTCTCAGTGATTCATTTGAGTGTTGAAGCTGCTATAGCTTTTCACTCTCTATCCATCTTGTGTCTTTCTTCCACTAAGGCTGTGTGGCCCTCAGACTTCCTCCCCCCTCCCCATTGCATATCTTAGCTCCCCCTTTACCTCTGGACCCTCACCTGGGGAGATAGGGACCTTGTAGCCTGGAGGGCCACCCTGGCCACCTGTTGCATTTGGATCTTCACAAAGATGGAAGTGAAGGTTTGTACAAGGAAAAGAAAAAGCACGTATTTGAGCTCCTCCCTGAAAGCAAAGAGTTCTCTCCAAAGAGGCACCATGCCCATGCTCGTCCCTTGCCTCCCTTGGGTGCTCAAGGCCATCACTGCTGGGCCATCACTGCTGTGAGCAGAGTGGAACTTGAAGCTTTTCTGTGAATCACTGAACATGTGTCAGTGGGGAGGGACTGACTGACTGAGCAATGTCACCCCAGGAGTTGCCAGAGAAGCTAATTTACCTGTTTCTCATACAGTGTGCTTATTAAAATAAAGTTTTACTCCATTATGTTGTGTAAGTAACAGGCCTCCTGCAGGCAAGTAGAAAAGGGCAGAGTGGAGTTTCTTTACCTTCTTTTTTTTTTTCTTGAGGCATTGTCTTCTGAAACCAGCATATCCATATTATTAATCGCTCACAGGGCTTTATCATGCATTCATTGCTCCCTTGGAATTAAACTGCACATATAAAGTATGAAAAATGTACTTTTTTTTAAACAGTAAAAAAGTAATTTTCTCGCATAATACCCAAAATAAAGTGCCATGGAGCCATTAGTAGTAAATTGAATTTTTTGGTATGTAATTTGTACGAAAACTGACAAGTGCGAGCCCCCCCTCCCCAGTCGTTAGTTACTGGGCTTAGCAGAAGCGGAGGCCGTAATCTGCAAGGGCAGGCATTGTGATGTCGACTTCAATTGCACACTTCATTTCTTTAGACAGGGGACAGGCGGCAGCTTCTGTCACAAGGCCTCACTGCACTGTTAGCGAATTTCGCCCCGGGGCAGCTGGGATGCTGGGCTGGGGCAGATGTTCTTTTCAGCCTATTCAGTGACCATTCTTGGGGGTTGTTTACCGTTGTCATGGTGACCTTCATTTCCATAGCAGCAGCGCTGCTGTTTCTCAGAGGAAAATGAATTTAGTTCTAAAGAGGATAATATTTTTCTCTGTCTCTATATAACCTGCCATCTGTCAACCGGTGGATTGGTAAGGATTCAGAAACCTATTAAGAATTATAGCAATAAAGTGATGAATATTTGGGGAAGGAGCAGATTAAAAGCAATAATAAATGAGAACATAAGCACTGTGCCTTTGACATCAGAACTTTTTAAATTCTTTTCTTTGTATTTTTATGTGCCTTTTCTTTTAAATGCCTTCATCACCTCCAACAGCGCAGTGTTCACATGTAGCCTCCTAAAATACGATTTCCATTCTGCAGATGAATGAAAATGACCAAATGTCTTGTTTATATCTGACTGGATGCAGGTGTATTCGGTGCTTTCTCTTCCTGGTGATGCTATGACCTGCTCCCCCCTCCCCCCAAGCATTTAAGAATCCCAGGCTGACCTTCCTATTGTTACCAGCTCTTCTGCTCCTCCACCCCTGGTAAAAGGTGAGGGCCGCCTAGACCAGCAGCTATCGGACACCCACAGAGCAGGTCTCGACATTAACAAAGCAAGAAGACATGCTTATAGATTTAAAAAAAAAAAAAATCTAGCATGTTCCTTAAAATCTCATTCTAAAATAACTTTTCTTTCTCTCAAGTCCAAAAGGTACAGAAGTCACCTCTGAGATCCCTCATCTGGTTCCTGGATGTTTTTTTTCTTTCTCTATCACATTCCTAATCTGTAACTTTGCAGGGGGAAAGAAAACGCATACACACCAGCCCCGTTGTAAATAATGTTATTTATTGGTTGATTTTTCCAGATCCTGACATTGATGCTGCCAGTGCCATGATGCTTTTGAATTCTCCCCCTGAGATACAAGCAGGTTGTGAGTAGATATTTCTATAGCATACAGCACCATAGTTTGTGAACTTAACCTTCTCATTGACATCCCAGACTGTAGGAAGAACTAATGCCGACATAGCCCCACACTTGTAAGATCACTTTCACAGCAAGTGTGTGGTTGACGTGCATTCTGCATGTCCACATGCAGCCATGCATATGCGTGAGCCAGTGCAGAGGTGCTTTTGAGGATGAGAGAGATCTCACACATCATCAGAACGAGGAGATGAGAAAGAGAGCCCCTAACCACTTCTTCTGGAGACCTTTCTCCTGCTGGAATCATTGCTATGGCTTTGTAGGTGAGGTTCCCTGGACCAGCTCACCCATGGCGGGGCTAAGCAGCACCCTATTGTAGACCTTATTTTCCGTGAGGGCTTCAATAATAAATTAGGGCGTGTTATGGAAAGTCTGGCCTGCCCACGTGGCTTTAGCCTAAAAATGGAAGCGCAATATCACATTGCACCCTCTCTGCCCTATGTGCTAGGTGGGCACAGAGAGAAGGGCAAGGCCGATGTCATTAATTAGGGCTCACTGAGCAATGTCAGATTGATTGACAGCTCTCTGCTTTGCTTCGGCTGGACTCTTGTCCACTTCCTGGTGTCTTTCCTTGTCTCATCTTCATAGCTGACCTGAAATGAAGACATCTGTGCTCTCCTCCCAACTTGAGGCCAGTGCCTCTGTCTACATCCCGCAACCAGCCGGAGCCGCACTGAGCGGAGAGGCGGTGCACTAGGATCTGTTTGTCTTACTGTATGGCACTGCCGTGCCACACGTGTGCAGAAAGTAACTGGCACGGCAGATCTTCCAGTGACACCGTCAGGGACTGGTGCCTCCCTGCCCGTCTTGTGCCTGCGACTAGGATTCCAGTGGGTTTGGGACTCTCTGGCCTTCTGAAGAGACCATGGCCTTCTAAGCAAGGAGAGTTCCCCCACTTTGGAGATGGACATTTCCCACAAGAAAGCGCCCATCCTTAGAGCCACAGTAGGTTTATGGTAGACTGATAGGAATTCCAGATCCCGGTCATAGCCTTCCTGGTAACCTTAGGAAGTTTGACATGGCCCTTTCTTCTTTGTATGCATTTTAAAAGATCCAAGAGATACTGCCAAGCATTCTCAGACAAGCTGGCTCTCTGCCTGGGGCTGCCCTTACCTGCCCTGACTGCAGAACTCTCATTCCCCTTGGTTAACCTCCGTTTCCTGGCGTTTGGAATGGGAGGCTGCCCACACCTCCGGCCAGCCCAATCCACTGCTAAGCAGGTACACAACAGGCATAGTTCTGCAACTAGCAGTTAACCTGCTTAGCCGGGAATATGGCTTTCAAGTGATGCTTTACGTTTCAAAAGAACTCTATACTTAAAATCCATTTTTAGATGGCATTTCAGGAAAAGCTGCAGACTGTGGCTGCAATTAAGTCACAGGCTGGAAAGGTCCTTAGGATCAGGTCACATAACCAGCCCATCGTGGCGGAAACATGATCTGATCAGAGCTGGCTAAGATTCACGCCCGTTCCTCAGCTCCTAGCCGCTGTGTGCTGTGTTTATTACTTTACGTGTACATCCTTCTGATGAACTGGTCCCTAGGTTGAGAAGGAGAATGGAGACTCTGGAAAAGAAAGGCAGGGCATGTGGATCGAGCACTTAGAGTCTTCCGTGTCTTTCCTGAAAGGCTCTCATCCTGGACTCCTGGACATAGGTCAGGTTCTCCTGATTTGCTAACAGGATTGTTTTTAATGTTTTTTTTTTGACCAAATGAACCGCTCCCCTCTCCATCCCTGTAACTCTCTGACTGTAATCCTCTCCCTGGCATAGCCCCAACCCTACTTATATCCGAGTGCTGAGTTGAGTTTTAAAAGTGTTCATGTGTTAAAGGTGTAAATTCTTTTTTATTTTATCTTTTTTTTTTTTTTTAAGGTGGGGTTCCATGTGACCCAAGCTGGCTCCAAGCTTGTTATGTAGCCAGAGATGAGATTGAAATGTGGACTTTGGCTGAGCTGCATTCCCGGCTCTGTAGGATAATTTTAGAGAGCTTTATTTCTTTCAGTGCTTTCAGCATTTCTGTGAGAAACCTAGCCACAGCCTTCATGAGGGCCCCAGGCCAAGAAGGGTCTCCAGGGCCCTGGCAGTCACCAACCAGGATGCCAGTGAAGGTCATGGAAGGAGACACAGGCAGGAGCAGCTAATGAAGAGAGAACAAGGAGAGGTGGAGACGCTGGGTTCACGGTCTCCTTCCCCATCTGACCTCCAGTCTTAGTCTGGAGGTCAAATGCAGCACGATCGATGGGCAGGCTACAGAGCCCCTGAAGATCGGAGCAATGTCGTACTTAGGGATTGTGCAAAATCCCCCATCTCCTAACAGACACGATCAGAGAGAAGTCTGTCCATCTGTCTGCCGCTGTTCCCGCCAGCTTCTTCTTCCCACTCCAGCTGCATTTTTCCTTTCCTTGTTTCTTGCCTGGAGATTGGAGGCAGTGCCTTGCCTCCTCGAGGGAGAAGCCTTGCAGAGACAGGATGCTGAAGCTGCTGTTGTCTGCCCTGCTTGCGTTGCCCCAGGTCTGGGTATGGATCCTCAGTCAATGCAGAAAGACAACAACCAGCCTCCATGATGGAGAGAGGGCAGCATGGTGTGTGCAGTTGTGTGTCCCGGCATGCTCAGGAGTTGCCCAGCATGGCTTCTGAGAGCTCCATATGTTCCCTGCCTCTCCCCTCCCCTGGGGCCGGTTGCTGTGGCCAGGCTCTGTTTATCCAGCCTCCTCGTGCCTTACTATTTATAGCTTCCTGCTTCACCCCTGGGCTGCCCCTCTGAGTGGCAAGCTACCCACTTCATCTCCTGGCACTGTTCACTCTGGGCAATTACAGGCTGGCTTGGTTACTAGAAAGGCCTTCCCCCCACTTTGTCATCCCTCTTTGTAGCCACTGCACCTCAGCACCAGGTGGCAGCCCCTCAGATCTCTTCCTTGTTTGGCATCTCCAGGGCTGGCACACTGGCCGCCACCCAGGCTCTGAAGCCAAGTGAGGTATAGAAAAGACCCTTCCTGAGACACTAGTGAGAACCCAGGAGGCCTGTGCACCCTGAAATGGTTGGGCTGGCGTCTCTGAGGACCCACCACCTCTTGTTTCAATTGTCTACTCCGGTGTGAATGAGGTCGTGGAGTACAGCTGATAAAAGCCTGGGGTTCTAAGTTTGTCCCCGTGGCATCATCCGAAGTGTATGGGGTTCGTTCTGCAAGCAGGGCCGTTGTGTCGCGTGCTCAGAATGCTACTTCCAAAACAGCCAGCAGAGAGTGTGGTTGTCTGCTCATCGTCCTGACTTCTGAGACTCAAATCTGTCCACCTTCTCCGGTCTCCCCCTGAAGAGCGGCAGCGTGGACTCATTTCAGTATTGTCATCTCCTGAATCGCCTGCCTAGTAGCTCCCTTGACAGTCCTTGTGAGTGATCTTTAACCCCCGTGGAGAAACCAGGTCACCACTACCCATCTCCAGAAGCTTTATATAATCCTTGGCTGGACTGTTCCCAGAGATGGAACTCCGGATAATAAACAAAGCGGCAGAATGGACCCAGAGGGAAGGGGGTGCTGCCTGGAACTGGGGTATATGTCAACCCTGTCAGGCTTCACCGAAGAAAGCCCACAGGAAACAGGCTGTCCTGCCATGGCAGCCCTTGCCCAGTCTGCTTCCAAGCGAGCAGGTGGAAGGGGTGCGGGGAAGGGGGTAGGCATGATGACAGGAATGGCCTGCTGCTCTGCTTATGGCCTCTGATGGTGTTAGCCAGGGCTGCCCTCCAATGGCAGAGCCGCGAGCTCCCCTCTGAGGTTAATTTTAGACTCGGGGAGGTGCGCACCAAGGGGGAGCTGGTGACGGGCTGAGGGAGAGCACAGTGTGCCAGCATAGTTTGTTCTATGCCTTGGACTTTTCAAAACAAAAATGAGCATTAGACCCTGGGAAGTGGCTCGGTCAGAAAAGTGCTTCCTGTACAAACAGGACCCGAGTCCCAGAAGTGTGGGGGGGGGGTGGTACATACCTGTAATTCCATTGCTGGGGAGGCAGGGACAAATCCTAGCTCAATGGCCCTAACAATCTAGCTGACATATGTGGTGATATTTTGTTTGTGCTATAACAAATAAAGCTTGCCTGAAGATCAGAGTGATGAGCTAGTCACTAGTTAGCCACAGAGGCCAGGTGGTGGTTGCACACATCTTTAATCCCAGCACTCGGGAGGTGGAGAAAGGAAGGGATGTGGCTGGGAGGAGAGAGGAATGTAAGGCCAGAGGAGTCGGGACCTCAGCCCATTCAGTCAGGAGCTCTCGCCCTTGCTTTCAGTCTGAGGATTCCATCTGAGGATTGGTAGAGACAGGATACCCCATTCAGTCAGAGGATTTCCTAGAGGTGAGAACCAGTGGCTGGCAGCTCTGCTTCTCTGGTCTTTCAGCTTTCACCCCCTAATATCTCAGTCTGGGTTTTTATTACTAGGACCAATTAGAATTTGTGCTGCAGACATGGCTCTGGCTATTGACAGAAGAAAGCACCCAGTGTCAACCTCGGGTCATCACAAGACTCTGCACACTTGCGCACACTCACCTCACACACGCAGAGACACCTCCTCAGGTTACACTGTCACTCCAGGCCCTAGCATCAGCTCTGAGCCATGCTGTTGATTGTCCCTGTTTCGGTGTGCGTGTTACAGTCTAGCTAATTTCAGGAGGCTTAGAGACAGTCCATGGCCTAAGAGAACATAGTTGACCAGTAAGTGCTGGGGAGTCTGGTGCTGAAGCCTATGGCACCCAGCCCAGCTGCCTGTCTCTTCTCCCAGGCTGCTGGGAGAAAGGATATGTACTTGGTCTTCAAGAAAAGATGGTGCTGAAGGCTTGGACTCTTCTCATGGGAGTGAGCACGGAGTTAGAAGTTGACTTCCAATATGAATTTTTTTAAGTCCCTGACTGAGCTGCTGCTAACTACACCTCAGGGCATGTGGTGAGGCTGTATGTGGATGCTTTCAGGAGACAGAGCGAGGAAAGGGAAAGAGAAGAGGTGCTTATTTCCGACTAGGGGCTGGAGAATGGACTCACATTCCTGCCTGGTGTCCAGTGGACAGGGAGTAAATGATGGATCCCAATGCCTTTTCCACAGAGCCGTTGTATATCGGCTCGACACAGTTTCCAGAAACCACTTTCCTGACACCTGGGCGTGGGGACAGAGAGGAGAAGAGATGGAGGCACAGTGAAGTGTCACAGCTGGGCTTTTGGCAGCCATGAACGAGCTCACCCGCATTCACCATCTCCGCATGGCGTGTGTCGCCGATGAGGACCCGGGGACTGGCAGGAGCTGTAGGCACCACCCAGCAGCTCATTTGAGGAGGAGCTCCGGGTTCAGAGGATAAGCCAGCCTATGCTCCCCAGCAGTCTCGCGGGCTCAGGCGCACATACCTGGTACTGCTGCCAGGTTGCTTTGAAATGAACACAGTTCATGGATTGGGAAGAGTTTGAGTGGGTGAATGTGAGGTTAGAGTTAGCTACCAAAGGCAGAATAGACTGACAAGAATTGAATTTCCCCATTGAGTCTTCTTATGCCTTAGAGATAATCATCAGAGCTTCCTTCAGAGGTGATATGGAATGGCCAAAGGATACTGATGACAGAGATGATATTAATAAGCATAGAGCGCTAGTCACGAGGCTGGACGGTCTTCATAGCTTACCTTATTTAATTCTCAGAACAACCCTGTAAGATTTTTATCCAACAGAACTATAGTGGGATAACCAGTGTTTTCCGAGACCATGGTCCAGGCGCCGCTCAGCCCCTGCCCTGCTCAGTGGGTAGGGAGCATCTCCACTAGTACTTACCCTAGCGTGTCTTCATACCCTCCAATTCTCTCTCTCCCATTTAACTGTAGTTTTCCTAATACACAGGGAGATGCTAACTAGTTGCACATATGTAATTTTTACTGACAAGGATTAGAATCATGGTACAGATTTTCAGTATTTAACTCTTTTCCGACGTGGTCCATTGTATCAGAACCGCTTACTGTTCTCACTGAGATCTTCAGTGACACACTCACCCCGTGGCTACGTGACCTAGGGTGTACCATCAGAAGTCCTTGAAAACCTCTTTGTACTCTCTTGATAGCTAGCAAAAGCCCATATACTCTAGACTGCTGCAGCAAGCTGAAATCTGAGTTCTCCTCCTCTTGTGCCTTCCCCTTGTAAAGGTAGATCTGTTTATGATTAATCTTCACATGCAGTATAAGGTAAGGGTCAAGGTTTGCTTTGTCCTGGGAGGGGTGTGTGTGCTGTGATATGCTGCTTTCTGACACTATTGTCTTGACACCTCGGTTGACCATATTCAGGGTAAGTCTGTTTTCTGGATTCTACTTCGTTCCAGTGATTGGAATATCGAGAGTCAGCTCCATCTCACACTCAAAGTCTTGACATCGGGAAATACAAATCACGTTGTAAATCTTTTGGACCCTGCTTCCTCATAGAGTAATTAGCTGTGAACTGGAATAGTTCCCATGCTCGTAAGGTACTTGGTTATCCTCCTGCCTCAGACAACCTCGTCCATCCTCTGAAGTCAGGCTGCTAATTGGGAATGGGTGGAGTTTCTTGTCCAGCTGTGCCTCCTCACGTGATCAGTTAGAGTGAGAGACCAAGGGCATTCTGAACACGGGTGTGCTGTAGCACTGACTTAAGCAAGAGTGGCAATCTTATCCTGCATCCTGCCTTTCGTTAAGACCTTCTCACAAGGACCTCGGACCAGAAGAGAAGTGTCAAAGGTCATTAGCAAGAATTACAGAGTGCCCAAGAAATGGACAGTCTGTAAAAGTAGTCTGCCTTCAGGCAGGCAGGACGGCTCAGCTCAGCCAGTAAAGGTGTTTGCTGTGCCAGCCTGCCTACCTGAATTTGATCCCACACAAAAGTGGAAGGAGAGAGCAGACCCCACAGACTTGCCCTCCAACCTCCACACGTGTCGTGATACAGACATTCCCATGCTCATCATGTGCGCACATGTAATCATGCAAATACTTTTAAAGGATTATTTCATATTTACCATACATCAAGGACTTTCAGACCCCCTCCCCCCAATCATGTAGCTGAGGATGACTGTACCGGCTCTGATCCCCCTGCCTACCTGCACCTCCTGTGTGCTGGGATCACAAGTGGTCATCGCCATCGCTGGTTTTTAGGATGCTGGGGACCAAGCCCGGGACTTTGTGTATGGTAGGCAAGCATTCTGCCAACTGAACAACATTCTCGGTCCTGAAAAAAAAAATTATTAGAAACCTAAAAATTATGAAACACGTATGCGTTAGTAATTTGTTTCATAAAAGTATTTACTGTTTGCAAATAACATGGGTTTTTAATTTTGACATCTAGACTGCTTTTCATTTTCAAGTGTATAATTTTCTAGTATTTCATTGTTGCTTGTTTGAAAGGGCACTATTTATCCACGTCTTTTTAGTATGGGACTGTGCCAGGGTTTCAGGGAGCAGAAGAGGTCTAGAGTATTCTTTCGAGAGCAGAATAAACATTCGGGGATCTCCGTGGTAGCCCACTCCGTTTGCAGAGCTCACCTGGCCCCGTAGGCGATGTCTGCAGATGCGGCAGGAGCTAGAGGCTTACCTTGTGCCAGCTGAAGCTACTGTTCAGGAGGTGGATAATGGTCACATACACAGGACTCCCTGTAGGTACATCCTTGAGGACGCTGGGGAGGGGAGCCTGGACCCCAGGTCTTAAGATTGCTGGTGGAAAGTTGTTAAGGGCACGTCGAGGGATCGGTGTGTGTAGAAGAAAGTAGAGGGGTCAGGGGACACTAGGAATGCTGGAAAGGGGTGCAGGGAAAGACTGACAGGCCCCTGAAGCCAGTCTTTGACAGTGCAGAAGCAAGGACTTGAGGCTAGCCCGCCCCTCTTTGTCTGTTTTCTGCTTGTTTTGGATGACGGACAAATGCATAGATATTCTCGACCTTTGACCTTAGCAAACATGAGCAATATGAGGTGATGTGATTGTTGTGCCATCTGCAGTCCCCTGTCATCTCTGTGATATTAAATGTTCTTAGGAGAAGACCAAAGATGAGAGATTTTACTAATGGGTGTAGGAAATTTCGTTTTGTTCTGTTTTGGGGCATGTATGTGTGTGTGTGCGTTGCACAGGTGAATATTTGGGCAGGTGTGCCTGTGCACCCTCCTACAGAAGCCAGAGCAGGCCATGGGTATCTTTGTCTTTCGCTGCCTTACTGCCTTGAGAAAGGGGTCTCTTGCCTGGTCAGAAGTTCAGTTTGGGTTAGGCTGGTGCCCAACAAGTTCTCAGCTCTCCAGTGCATGCCTAGCTCTTGCTGGTTGTTAGGAATTCATACCGCCGTCTCCTTGCTCACAGTCGTCTTTCCCAACCCGAAGCCCCCCCCCTTTTAAACTAATGTTTGATTGATTCTTTTTTAACAAAAGCATCAATAATTTGTAAACTATTGATGACTTTGTTTGCGCATTATCTTTCTGTCTTATTCTGTGTGTGTGTGTGTGTGTGTGTGTGTGTGCGTGTTCTGTTCCCCCACCTTTTCTCTCTCTCAAAATTGCTAACTCCTGCCCAGTTGAATTCACCTGTGATGTCTCTTTCTTTTGCTTTCCTAGTCTCTCCGGGAGTGATACAAAACGGAGCGAGGGTTCTGAGCCGAGGGCTGTTTCCTGGCGTCCGCCCACTGCCGATCACTCCCATTGGGATGACTGCGGCCATAAGGTAAGGGAAGAGCTTTCTGGGTGGGGCCTGCCTGCTGAGTGGGGAAACATCCCTCAGTTCCGGGGGAGGCGGGGATTGTCAGGAGGTGGAGAGGGCCAGCTTGAATGTCCACAGCATCAAAGGAACGAGACACATGCCCAGTCCAGATGCCGTCATCTCCATGTGCTCTCAGGCGATCTCAGCTCCTCCCCAGTGAGGTGGGATATAAGCTAGGCTTTTCTTAAAGTACCGGGCAAAAGAGGCCAGACTTCAAGGATGAGCACTTGTTGACTGGGTTTTAGAGCTACTTCTGTCACTCCCCTGCTGTCTCATCCGTCTGAACCTGCCTCAGTTTCCTCATCTGTGAAACTCCATAGAGGGGTGCGTGTGAAATGTGATTTGGTAAGGGGTCTGTGGGTAGCAAGGGTATCATTTCCCTGTTACTGAGACTCATGCCAGAAGAGACTAAATGGGCGCTTTTTGGGGTAGTTTCTTTCCCTCCTCCTCCTCCTCTTCCCCTCACCATCACCAGCCCCTGCATAGGGTCCACCTCTGACTTAGGGTCCTCACATACAACGTGACAGGCTCCTATGTCTCTTGTCCATCTATAAGTCACTGCCTTACTAGTTCCCTAAAATGTGACTCTTGAACTTTCCACACCTCTCTCCACATCACCCTGACACCCCCCTGCCTTTCTTCTTGAAGCAAATATGTTCAGTGATGGTTTTCCCCCTATTGCCATAATAAAATACTCTGACAAATTGTGTAAAAGGAGAAAGGCTGGTGGTTCGGGGGTGTTGTCAGTCATGGTGGGGAAGTCAAAGAGCAGGATCTCAGAGCAACAGGTCACTTAGCAGGATGCCGGGAGGGAGGAATGCAAGCTTGTGTTCAGCTCACTTTCTCCGTCCACACAGCCCAGCACCCTCTGCCCACTGTGGACGAGACCGTCCCACTCTGCTCATCTAGATGGTCCACATAAGCGTGCCAGAGGCCTGTCTCCCGGGTCTTCTGGGTTCTGTCAGGTTGACAGCTAGCACTGACCGCCCATGACTTGTGTGTCTTTCCCTTGCAGTGTCTGTCTTCTGTAGACTCCCTCAGTGTGCATAGGATCCCCGCAGAACACCTTTCTAAAAGGGAGCTTGCACTGTGGCCTTTTTGGTATGTGGCCGTGCTTGTTAGTGTTCCTCTGGGTCCCCTTTTCTCTTCTAGGTGGCTTGCTTGCTAAAGATCTGCAGCTCGGCTGCACGCCTCCTCCCCCTCCCCCCCCCCACACACACACTGGGGTCATGAGTGCACCCGTATTACTTCCTTTCCTGTTGTAACATACCGTGACCTAAGGTAACTCAGAGAAGAAAGGTTTCATTCTGTTAGAGTTCTAGAGTCAACACGGTCGGTCCACTATGGTGGAGAAGCATGGCATTGGGGCAGGAAGCTGACTGGTTATAATTTTATCATTACACACACACACACACACACACACACACACACACACGCACGCACACATGCATGAAGGGGTTGCATTCGCAGTGTTTTCCAAATATTGTCCTCTACCTGCCCAACCTCTGTTTTCCAAAAGAGGTTTCTCTTACTTGTTTGTTTGTTTGTTTGTTTGTTTGGAGGGGGTGCTCTGTGAGCCTGGGGACATTTGCTTGTGTTGTCTTGCCCCCCTTATAGGGAGACTCAGAGGAGTGAGCCCCCAGCTGTGAAGGCATTTGCAGATTCTGCATTGCCTGAGACCCAGTAAGATGTGACTGGGCGGGAGATCCTGTTCTGCTCACCCTATTCATCACACATTTTAAGTTTGGCCACCTGCCCCTCGAATCTGAATTCAGCCGCACTTGAGAGAGAAACAGTCCAGGGAAGAATAGAACCCTGAATGCTGCCTGCCAGTCCACAGGACAGTGTGTGCCTGCGGGTCCTGCAGGTGTGCCAGGGTTTGCCCGGGAGAGTCACTGAGCAGCAGTGCAGGCTGGTGCCCGCCTCTCCTGTGTGACAGGTTTCCTGTGTTCTTCTAATCGCCTCCCAACTTAAGTGAAAATATTTGTCTTTCGGGGATCTCGTTTCCCTCTCTACTGAGTGGCAAAGGCCATGTTTGTTTGTCTTGAGTCTGAAACTGTTATTGACATGGATGAAGTGTTACTTTTATTAGCCGATCATTACACAGCTTGTATTTGCTGGGTTCCTTTGCATATAATTATGATGCGAAATCTCCTCGTAAGAGCATCTGTCAATAGTGTAATTGACTCGACCGTGTTGACTTTCTACTCAATAACCTCCAAGATTGGCCCATCCTTCGACATCGGAAACCTGCTTATCTTTAAATTTGCCGGGGCGTGGAGTGCTCAGGATGCGTCGTCCTTAAGACTGTTGCCCGTGGCTAAGTGCGTGTTGCTTGCTTCTGCTCCCTCATTCCCAGAGGGAATCCTCTGAAGGTTCCATTGAATGGATGGATCTGGAAATGTGTGTTAGTGGAAGCGTGCCTGCCTGAAGGCATGAGGCCCTAGGTTCAATGCCTAATATGACTCTAACATGAGGAAGAGATTCCATCAAATGGAACACGTGATCACAGACCTGGGAGAAGAGGGAGAGGGTGGGCCAGAGTTCATCTCTCCTAGTGGTGCTGTGTGCTGCCTCGCAGGTAGGGAGGTTACAAGTCTAGGATCTGAAACATCTTAATTTTAACTCCGAGGTTCTTTTTTCTTTTTTAAAGAATTTTTTAGTTTTTACTTTGTGTGTGTGTGTGTATGTTTTAGCAGCGTGTGTTGTCCACTGGAGGCTGAAGAGGGTGTTGTCTCCTTGAACTGGATTTAAAAACAGCTGTGAACCACCTTATTGGTACTAGGAACTGAGCTGTGGACCTCTGACAGAACGGCCAGTGCTCCTAGCCCCTGAACCATCTCTCGATTCCCAGGACGTGTGTGTGTGTGTGTGTGTGTGTGTGTGTGTGTGTGTGTGTGTGTGTGTTACATATCAGGGGTTGGGAAGCCTAAAGGTCAGAGAACCATGCAGGAGTCAGTTTTCTTCCCCACCACGTGATTGAGCTCAGTTTGTCGTGCTTAGCAGCCTGTGCCTTTCCCAGCTAAGCCATCTCACTGGCCCCTCAGGGCTGGTTTTGATTCCCCATATGTCCGCTCCAACGGAAAAGAACGAAATGCCCCAGTTTTCACTGAGGATCAAGAGAATGGCTCTGAGGTGGGTCCTTGTTAGAGGGCTAGTGCCCAGAAACTAAGATCAGGAGACAGTCCCCTGGATCCTTGCTCTGCGGATCAGTGGTTCTGACCATGGCACGTGGGCATGCGCACAGAAACCCATGGATTAGTAGACTTAGCACGGCTGTGATTCCTGCACATACTAAGGATACTCCGTGCAGATAGTTACAAATGACGTGGAGGGCTTGGGCACTTGCACTTTGTGCCTTCCCCATACTTTCCCAGGCCTTGAACCTTGGGGTTAGGCTGAACCACCGCTACCTTTCCTGCAGGGCAAACTTAGGGTAAGGCCCCGGCTGTAAGTCCAGCCCTCGACATGTGCCAAAACTGCGAGGGAGAGCCCCATAATCACCGTGTGCAGCTGCTTGGTTTCATTTGGGTCTCTAAGAACCTCACTTGCAAACATTTCCCACGGAACAGGAGACAAGACATTGCTACGGCTCACAGCACCAGTTCTTATGGCCAGACCACTAGGAGAAACCTCCTTGTCCTCACTCTGCTCCTGGTCACCTAGAGAAGCCCCCCTGAGAGTGCAGCATTGATGGAGGTGTGTCCTAGAGACAGAAGTAGAGGGAAATGTGCCACCCGTCTCTTCCCACGTTGTGTTGGGTTCTTTAAGGTCAAGCAGCTGTTGTCTTTTGTCTCTAACACTGGCCTTCAAAGGTGGCTTCAGAATGTAGTATTAAATTTTTTATGCTTTGGGGCAGGAGGACAGGAGACGATAGTAAAGGGTGAGGTGGAGAAAGGACCCAAAGAACTCCATCAGAAAGACCACCCAAATCCCTCCCGGGCCTCACATCCCTGCAAGAGTCTTTGCTTCTGCCCTGCCTGGACCGGTGAAAGTGGATCCGCTCTGTGGAGCTCTCCTCGTTTCTCCACTCCTTGGCCAAATACTTTAGAAAGTCCTGGTTTTGGCTCCTTGTCCCTTCCTGTGTCTGAACGTCCTCAGCTCCTGCAGGTTCTGGGTAGGCCCCTGACTGTGGGACCCTTCAGGACCTTGAGCCTCGTGCAGGAGAGTCATGTTTCTATTGTGCTTTTCCTTGGATAGCACCCTAAGACAGAGCTACCTGAGCTGTCAACCCCAGGATGGGGCACCCCTCCCCCCTGCGCTCTTTCTTCTTGCCACCACACCAATAGGACTCCAGGGCTAAAAGGGGTCTTGAACTTTATTTCATAGATGATGTTCAGGTAGAATTAGGCCGGATTCTATGAGGACTGTAGGGAAGAACTATGAACTCAGAGCTCTGACCCTCGTCGGGAGAATTTGAAACCTGGTGAGATGTAGTTCTCTGGTTAGTGGTTCTTTGCCTGCCTTTCCTTAAATCCTTCGTCTGTCTCTCTCTCTCTCTCTCTCTCTCTCTCTCTGTCTCACACACACACACATTTAGTTGTTATGTTTTGTGTATAAGTGGTTTGTCTGATTGGATGTCTGTACACCACATGTATGCAGTGCCTGCAGCAGCCAGAAGAGGGCATCAGATCCCCGGAACTAGAATTAGAAATGGTTGCGAGCCATCATGTTGGTGCTGAAATTGGACCTGGGTCTGCAGGAAAAACAGCTATTACTCTTAACCACCGAGATGTCTCTGCAGCCCCTCCTTCTTCATTCTCCATTCTGGGAGCTGTTTTTCAAAAAAAAAAAAAAAAAAAAACTTTATGCAGTTTTGTATTCATATACAAGAATATATGAAACATTTGGCTGTTATTAGACGTTTGATGATACAGTGCTTGTGAACCCACCACCCAGCCTAGACTGCTTTGTCCTCTGGTAGGTAACCACTATCCCCTCCTTTTGCATTCAAAGGGTGTTGG